GTTCGAATCCCCGCGACGGGGTGAGCTCCCATTGCTCGGTCCCTGCTCCTGCCAACCTAGCAGTTCGAAAGCACGTCAAAGTGCAAGTAGATAAATAGGTACCGCTCCGGCGGGAAGGTAAACGGCGTTTCCTTGCGCTGCTCTGGTTCGCCAGAAGCGGCTTAGTCATGCTGGCCACATGACCCGGAAGCTGTATGCCAGCTCCCTCAGCCAATAAAGCGAGATGAGTGCCACAACCCCAGAGTCGGCCATGACTGGACCTAATGGTCAGGGGTCCCTTTACCTTACTCTCATTTTGACTCAAGAAAACCACCATTTTCTAGTTCAACTCGGGGATATAAATACAGTAAATGGACAAAGTACTGTACAAAGGTTCACAAAATGTTTAGGGGTATGCGTACCCCCAGAAAAAAAAGCACTGGGCACCACCTTACTGCAAACCCAGCTTAGGCTGAAATTGATTCGCATGTGTGATTTAAAACAATATATATATTTCTCTATATATTAGGCTGTACGGAGGCACACATGCTCATGAATTTGCATGGGCATCAAAGCCAAGGTGCAAGCAGGAGCGTGGCAAGAGGCTCTCTTCTGCCTGACCTGCTTTTGAATAAACAATGTTATATTCCACAGTCAATTATCTCCAAAGTACAAAGTGTTCTGTTACCAAAAAAAGACCGTGAGCAGCGGCTGGTCTGAGAGGGCGCATCCGCGCACCGGAGCAAGCGCTTAATCTTTTGTGTTCCCGTATAATTTTATACAAATGGGGTCGGTTTGGAGGCCGCAGACAAGATCCTGCCATTCCCCTTTTAGCCCTAGTATTCTGCAAAGCGTCTAATTGCAGGCTTCGGCGAGAGGTGCTGGCATTGCTAGGGAAATGAGAGGAGGTACGCTTTGCACAGCTCGGTAACAAGGCTTCCGAAAGGAAAGTGGAAAAACAAATCATGGCTTGTGCGCATCGAACGGAAGGGGCCTAATAAGGCCCACAGGACAAACACTCCCCGTTATTACGGCTTCGTTATGCAAGGAAATGCCTTCTGAAAATGTCTGGTTTTCGGTAACGCTGGCTCTAAAAAGCAATCAGAATCTGCAGGGCCAGATGCCCTCTTTCCTCTGCCCCTTTGCGGGCATCAGGAATGCAAGAGCACCTTGGCAGAATGCTGGCCAACAGGTTTGTCTGCTCACTTGCACAAGAGCCCTCCTGCCATTACCAGCAACTAGGACTCAGAAGCATTGCTTCCTCCAAATGTGGAGGCAGACCATAGCCATCGTGGCTACTAGCCACCAATGGCCCTCTCCTCTCTGAACCTGTCCAAGGCAAAGGAAGTTGGCAGCTGAACTGCTGAACAAAGACGATTTGGCGTGGAGGAAAGAGATTTATTAGAAATTTGCAGCAGAAACGGTTTTGACGCAGGCTATTGTCTGTCAGCATCTTAAAAAGCAGAGACAACATCTTGCCAACAAAGGTCCGTATAGTTAAAGCTCTGGTCTTTCCAGTAGTGATGTATGGAAGTGAGAGCTGGACCGTAAAGAAGGCTGATCGCCGAAGAATGGATGCTTTTGAATTCTGGTGCTGGAGGAGACTCTTGAGAGTCCCATGGACTGCAAGAAGATCAAACCTCTCCATTCTGAAGGAAATCAGCCCTGAGTGCTCACTGGAAGCACAGATCCTGAAGCTGAGGCTCCAAGACTTTGGCCACCTCATGAGAAGAGAAGAATCCCTGGAAAAGACCCTGATGTTGGGAAAGATGGAGGGCACAAGGAGAAGGGGATGACGGAGGATGAGATGGTTGGACAGTGTTCTCGAAGCTACCAGCATGAGTTTGACCAAACTGCGGGAGGCAGTGGAAGACAAGAGTGCCTGGTGTGCTCTGGTCCAGGGGGTTGCGAAGAGGTGGACATGACTAAATGGCTAAACAACAACAACAACATTGTCTCTCAGCTGCTTGGAGCCTCAAGAAGGAGGGCAGTAAATATTAGATTTTATATCTGCATCCATATGAAAAATGTAAGAATCAAAGAAAACTAACAATGACTCTTCAGAGAGTTCTTCTAGGGCTTGTGGCTCCAACTGGACCACTCCTGATTCCTCAGCTAACTGGAAAGATGAATCCAAAGAAGAATTGTCCCAAAGTTAAGAGGAATAAAAAAGGAGCATCCAGGTACTGGGACTCTTGCACATTCATGTCCAGCACATTGCTAGCCCACAAACAACCCACAAAAAAAGCTAATGCTATTCTAGGCTGCATCCGCAGAAGTCTAGTGTCCAGATCAAGGAAAATAATTGTCCCACTCTATTCTGCCTTGGTCAGACCACGTCTGGAATACTGTGTCCAATTCTGGGCACCAATTCTGGGCACAGTTTAAGAAGGATGTTGACAAGCTGGAAGGTGGGCAGAGGAGGGTGACCAAGATGATCAAGAGTCTGGAAGGCTAAACTTCAAAGCTGCGGGTTTCAGTTGCTGTCTTGTTCTTGAAGAGGTTCTGCCCTCGCCTGCTCCAGGAACACACTGGGTTAATTAGCTGAATTATGTGCTTGAAGCGCAGGCAACCCCGTGTTAAGCATCATCAGAGCTGCTTAAGCGCTCCTCAAGAGGAGGAGAAATCCAAAATCAACTCTGAGGGGGTGCTGTCCCATTGGGAAAGCCACAGTCAAAACTTTAGATGCAACCCTTTGACCTGGAACCAGAAGTTTGCTTAGCACCTCCCATGGAGCGACTCAGGCCTTTCGTTCATGCAGGCTGGATTGTTTGCGGAGCTCCAGCAACCCTGTGCACAGAGTCATGGGATTGTAGAGTTGGAAGGGGCTCCCAAGGGCCATCTAGTCCAACCCCCACAATGCAGGAATCGCCACTAAAGAATTCCTAATGGGGTCATCTAACCTCTGCTTAAAGATAAAGGTAAAGGGACCCCTGACCATTAGGTCCAGTCGTGGCCGACTCTGGGGTTGCGGCGCTCATCTCGCTTTATTGGCCGAGGGAGCCGGCATACAGCTTCCAGGTCATGTGGCCAGCATGACTAAGCAGCTTCTGGCAAACCAGAGCAGTGCACGGAAACACCGTTCACCTTCCCGCTGGAGTGGTACCTATTTATCTGCTTGCACTTTGACGTGCTTTCAAACTGTTAGGTTGGCAGGAGCAGGGACCGAGCAGTGCCACCCAACCTCTGCTTAAAAACCTCCAATGAAGGACAGCAAGCACAGCAGAGGCACAGGGGAACACTCCGGGACACATGGCAAGGTGATGATTCGGCGCATGCAAGGTGTGTGTGCACCTGGTCTGCAAAAAAAACCCTTCCCCTCCCAATGTTGATGTTATTCATATCACCCGCACATACAAAACACATTTTCACGGTGGCATCAAAGGGAGCAACATGTTTTCAGCCTGCGAAGGAGGAAATGGAAATTCCAATTTGCACACCGAAATGCTGCTGGTTAGATGGGGGTGGCTGCAAGTGCTTAAGACGGACATGGAAATCCCTGATTTGCCAAAGGGCAGGCAAAGCGCGTCTTCCAAAAACAATGTTTGCAAGGGTAAAAGCAACACACAGCCACACCTGGTCCTAAATCATATAGCAAGACTTGCTGGCGGCTTTGTTTGCGCAGAAGAGGATGGGCTCTCCAAAGTTTATCCCACTTGAAAATCTTCTAGAATCATAGAATTGTAGGGTTGGAAGGGGTTTGCTTTATATATGGACCACGGGTTAGGAACATAAGAAGAGCAGCTGCTGGATCAGGCCAGAGGTCCATCTAGTCCAGCATCCTGCTCTCAAAAAGGCCAAAAAATTGACTGCGGAAAATCCACAAGCAGGGTTCACACACAAGAGCAGACTCCTGCCCTGTGCGTTCCTGGTCCTGCTGCCTCCAGCTGTGGATATTTGGAGCGCTTTCAGATTACTTTTCTTTGGATGAACACTTTTAATATTTTGTATATGCATGTTTGGATTTGTACGTGGGGCTTCCTTCACGCTTGAACAAGAAGCTGCAGTTCGGGCAGGATGCTGCAGCACATTTGCTGAGAGGAGGGAGGGCTGACAGGCATATAACGCTCCCGCTCAGAGATCTGCATGGCTTGGTGATTTGCTACCAGATCAAGATCAAGATGCTGTTATTAGTATATGAAGCCCTTAACAACTCAGGACCAGTTTGCCTACGATATCATCTCCCCCAACACTTCCCCCCTTGACCGCTTCAGTTGGTGGAATTTGTACCTCTACAGGGGCCGCATAAGACCTGTTCCACATTTGTAAGAACTTAGCCATTTTGTGTGGCAGCTCCTAGACTTTGGAACTCCCTGCCTATTGACATCAGGGAAGTGCCTTCACTGCACTCTTTTCAGAAACCTGCTGAAACCATTCCTGTTTAGACAAGCCTACCTAGATGCTTAGACAGTTGATGCAAGTCCTAAATCTGTTTTTGTCTATTGCTATCTTAACTTTTTGCATTGTTGTTGCTAATTCTCCCTGTTGATTATTGGATTGTGTTGTCTTTTCTTGTGAACCGCTTCAAGGGTTCTGAGATCAAGCGGCCTATAAATTTCACGAAATAAGTCAACAAATAAATAAATAACTGCTGTATTACTAATTATCCGAATGTGTTTCACACGTCACGCTGTCTTCTTGCGAATCGCTTTGGGGCGCCTCTGAATGCGTGAAGCGCAATACAGTGGTACCTCTGGTTGCGAACGGGATCCGTTCCGGAGGCCCGTTCATGACATGAAAAGAGCGCAACCCGCACCGGCACGTTTGTGCATGCGCAGGTTGCAATTCGCTGCTTCTGCGCATGCGCGTGGCGTCATTTTGCGCGTCTGCACATGCGCTAGCGGCAAAACCCGGAAGTAACACGCGGGACATAACCTGAAAGAACGTAACATGAAGCGGACGTAACATGAGATATGACTGTACAGAAATGCAATAACCAGCTCCACCTGCCTATGGGAATCAAGACCCATGCCCTTCCCTGTTTCCCACACCCATCTCCAGGGTCGGACACTGCCTCTTACCTTTGGCTGCAGCAGAGGAGGCTGAGGCCCGGTGGCCGGTTCCGTGATGTAGGTTTTCTTGGCTCCGGACGACGGGTACTGCCCTGTGGGATTCAGGGCCGCAGACCCGGGAGAAGGGTATGTCGCCTCCTGCTTCCAGGCATTTTGCGGCACGTAGGATGGATCCGAGCCAGTCCTCCCTCCGTAGCCTCCGGGGTAGGCCGGCTCTTGGTAGCGGCCCTGGGGCCCCCCGTACCCATAGCTTGGCTCTGGGTGAGGGGCGGTTTGGGGCACGTAGCCATAATCCGCGGCCCGGGGCTGAGACGGCACGTAAGGCGCTGGACCCAGAGAAGACGCAGGTTGAGCCGCTTGGTTGGGGGGCCAGACTGCTATACTGGGGGCTGGTGGCTGGAAGTGGGGGGCCGGCTGGGCCGACTTCACTTGCACGTTGAAGGTCGGGCGGTTCGGGGTGGAAGCCGTGCTGTAAGACGCCGGAACCGGCTGAGGTTTCAAGGTGCCGACTGGGGTCACCGGGATGGGCTGAGAGCCAGGCTTGGATGCCGATTCTTGGTGGCCGTCAGGGGAGGCTGGTTTGGGATGACCATGCGCTTGTGGCCAGTGACTGGGGTGGCCATCGGAGGCGTAGCGATGGGAGATCCGCCCGGAATCCCAGAGCCCTGCATGTGGGAATAGAGACAATAGCAACAGACCATTAATTCGGGTCAGGAATAACATGCGCCTGAAGATTTGCCCCCATTACGTACTGGTTTGTCCAAGCTAGGGACGCGGGTGGCGCTGTGGGTCAAACCAAAGAGCCTAGGGTTTGCCAATCAGAAGGTCGGCGGTTCGAATCCCTGCAACGGGGTGAGCTCCCATTGCTCGGTCCCTGCTCCTGCCAACCTAGCAGTTCGAAAGCACATCAAAGTGCAAGTAGATAAATAGGTACCGCCTGCAGCGGAAAGGTAAAGGGCGTTTCCGTGCGCTGCTTGCTCTGGTTCGCCAGAAGCGGCTTAGTCATGCTGGCCATATGACCCGGAAGCTGTACACCGGCTCCCTCGGCCAGTAAAGCGAGATGAGCACCCGCAACCCCAGAGTCGGCCACGACTGGACCTAATGGTCAGGGGTCCCTTTACCTTCACCTTTTGTCCAAGCTAAGAGGCTTAAGAGCAGCCTTGTTCATGAGGTCCCAACCAAAATCTTATCCTGGGGCAATCAGAATAAGATCCACTCTTTGACTGCTGATTCAGGACCCTAAAATGTGTTTTATATCACTGACTTTTTATTTTGTTCTGTGTACATTGCAGTGTTCTTTTGCTGCTATGGCCGACGGCTGACGCAAAAAAAGTTTCATTCATCATTCATGAGTTCCTGCAACTGGACTTTGGCTATCTAAAGATCAGTGACCTGTCCAAAAGTAGGATTGGGTCCTATTTTATACATTTTTCCTGGGTAGCAGAACCAGTTAACAAAGGGAAGAAAAATAATATATATATATGAGAGAATATATATATATTCTCTCATATATATATATATATATATATATATTCTCTCATATATATATATATATATATATACACACACACACACACACACACACACACACACACACACAGTCGTACCTTGGCTCCTGAACGCCTTGGGAGTCGAACGTTCCGACTCCCGAACAATCAAAAACCGGAAGTGAGTTTTCAAAACTATTTTTGGAAGCTGAACGTCCAATGGGGCTTCCAAGGCTTCCGATTGGCTGCAGGAACTTCCTGCAGCCAATCAGAAGCTGCACTTTGGTTTCCGAACATTTCAGAAGTTGAACTGGACTTCCGGAATGGATTCCATTCGACATCCAAGGTACGACGGTATAATTAGTTGTAAGTGGGGGAAAGTGGACATTTCCTCCCATCTAGAGTCACCACTCACCCCAGACATTAAAACCCCAGGATTAAATTATATTTGAGATGCTTCTTGCACTGCAAGGGGTTGGGATAGATGACTCACAGGGTCCCATCCAACTCTAAAATTCTAAGATTCTGTGATTCCCTGAAACACCATTCTTTTTTTAAAATTTTATTGGAAATTTTACAACATAACATAAACCCCCCACAAGCCCAATACAGAAATCCACCCTCACTAAACGTGAACATAACATACAATAAGCATAACATACAACAATAAAAACAACCAAATAAAAGACTTCCTTTATCCTGGATCTGGCCTCCTTATTTACTTCTTATAAGCTGTTTCCTTTATCAATAATTATTAAGATTTTTCTAATTATAACTTAAATATCCACAAAGTCTCCTGCAGACATTAATCGAAACAAGTCCAGCTATGTATTTTAGGGCACTGTTTTGTGAAGTATTCTCTGAATTTCCCCCATGCTTTTCGAAACTCTTGTCTAGTGTGATCTCTAATTGCCTCTGTTAATCTAGCCAGTTCAATATACTCTAACAGTTTGTCTTGCCATTCCTTTTTTGTTGGCACAATTTCTTTTTTCCAATTTTTAGCAATTTCTATTGCTAAAAATTCCTGAAACACCATTCAGCGCTGATGTCTTCATTTTGGATCTCTTGGGAGAAAGGTAAAAAAATAAAAATAAAATCCAGGTTAAGCCAGGTTAATTTCCCTCCCTGCTTTCATTTACAAGTTGCATCTGCAAAAAAGAAAAAGTGATTTGGCAGGAAGGAGAGATCAAGCTACAGAGAGATCAAGCTCTGCCTCCGCTGCCTGGGAGCAGTTTTCGGAGCGGGGGTGTAGGAAAGGGGTGTTAGATGCAGGGGAAAGTTTGGCTCACCTTTGCTTTAAACCCGGCGATAAAGCCACATTAAAGAAAAACGAAGGTCTTTTTGTATGTGTTTTTTAAGAGCTAAAAGGCATTGCCGGCTACTGATGTTTAAAAAGAAAAAAATCGATATCTCACTAAGGCAGAACAAAGCAGCCTCTGTCAAAGAGCCAAACTTGAAGGCAGAGGGATTTGGGATGGGGGGGGCTCAGAAAACGGAAAGGGATTAATGTGAGGAGGAGGAGGAGGCATCTCAAGAAAGGTGCGGTTGGAGGAAGCAACAAGGAAATAACAGGCACAGGTTTGCACCCTGAAAGATGCCTCACATCCTTTTATTTGTTCTCACAGCTGTGTGTGTTTGCGTGTCAGCCTGTGCCGAACAGCTCGTGCAAACACATTCCCTCCTTGCAGAAAACCAGAATCTAGCAAGAGGGGTTGTGAGCTGCCCTTCTCCTTGACATGATGGCTTTCTAGGTGCAAGGAGATATTTGCGAGGAGGAGAATTCAGGCCTGTGCGCATCACCGCCCCAGTCCTCCTGGCATCAGCCTGCACTCTGAAATAGCATAGAGGCAAATTGGGTCCGTTCCTTTGAGTTTCTATTGGTGCCTTGTATTCTTTCAATCAGGACACGGGTGGCGCTGTGGGTTAAACCACAGACCCTAGGACTTGCCGATCAGAAGGTCGGTGGTTCGAATCCCCACGACGGGGTGAGCTCCCGTTGTTTGGTCCCAGCTCCTGCCAACCTAGCAGTTCGAAAACACGTCAAAGTGCAAGTATATAAATAGGTACCGCTCCGGCGGGAAGGTAAACGGCGTTTCCGTGCGCTGCTCTGGTTCACCAGAAGCGGCTTAGTCATGCTGGCCACATGACCCGGAAGCTGTACGCCAGCTCCCTTGGCCAATAAAGTGAGATGAGTGCCGCAACCCCAGAGTCGGCCATGACTGGACCTAATGGTCAGGGGCCCCTTTACCTTTTTTTCTTCCAATCAGTTGACTACATTTCCATATTTTTCAAAATAAAGAAGTCCTCATGGAAATGTTAGCATTTTAAAGCGTCCTGGTCCTAATCAGCAGGTTTCTGTATGCTGTTTTGCCCGTTCTAATGCATTTTTGTACCTTATCTTGACATATATTTTTAAGGCACACTTTCCTGGAAACATAAATTACACAGGTTTTTTTGGCAACAGGAATGAGGCAAACATTGCGAGATAGCTGCGTCCCTATGTGGACAGTGGCCAACACACTGAATCCCAGGACACAGGAACATAAAAAACCCCACAGCCTGCTGGGTGAAGCTAGTGGCCCATCTAGTCACGCATCCTGTTCTCACAGTGACTGAACAGCTGCCCCAATGAGAAAGCCACAAGCAGGATTCGAACACAAGACCAGCAACTCCCCTCCTGGGGTTTCCAGCAACTGGCATTCAGGAACAATGCTGCCTCTGGCTAGGAGCCATCCATAGCCCTCTCCTCTTCCATGAATTTGTCTCATCCTCTTTTAAATCCATCCAAATTGGTGTCCATCCCTTCCTCCTGTGGCGGGGAGTTCCGTAATTTAATTCGTACTGTGTGAAGGAGTCCTTTCTTTCATCTCTCCTGAATCTCCCAGCATTCAGATTCATTAGGGTTGCCATATTTCAAAAAAGTGAAAATCCGGACACAAAAGTTGTTGAACTTTTTTTGGCAAAATTATTGAGCTCCCTCCCCCTCCTTTTTGGGCTAAAAATATGAAGTTTTTGGGCTTTTTAAAAAGGGAAATCGCCAAAAAACGACAGTGCCGACATGGGTTGCCATACGTCCGGATTTTCCCAGACGTTTTTGCTGATTTCCACCCAGACGCTGCTCCCAATTGCAGTATTCCAGATATGTCTGATAAATCCCAGGTCCATGGCAACCCTAGTGCCATTGGATGTCCACAAATCCTAATATCAGTGTCAGAGCTGCCCTAGGTCCCAGCTCACAAAGGACCAACGCCAGTTAGTTGTTATATTAGAACAGTCTTTATTGAAGCTCAGTTTCGCTTTCACAGCCGCGGCGCGCAGCTCTACGTCTCAAACTCTAGACCGCCGAAGCTCCGTCTGAGTCTCCTCCCCCCAGACACCAGTTTAAGACTCTAGCCTTGCTCCACCTCTTCCTCTGCTCTCTTCTCCTCTGGGCCCGCCTGTCCGCTGGGGTCTCGCCTCTCCTGGACTCTTCTGACGCAGAGTCTCCTGAGTCCTCCCCCTCCCTCCGGCGGGCTTTAGGACCTGGTTCCCCATCCGGGTTTCCTACTGTGCCGCGCGCCTGCACATTCGAACTTGGCGCGCGCGCCCAGCCTGCCACCTTCCTCCTGACCGTTACACTGCTCCTGTCACTGCTTCCCCCTTCAGGGAGGCTAGCTGCACCTGACTCCCCCTCCGTTCCCTCACTCTGCAATGGAGGCGTGGTCAACCCTGACTCATCTTCTCTCCCTGCTGGAGAGAAG